ATTATTATTATTATTGTCCTCGAAAATGATTTACACTATTATTGTCTTTCGTTTCTTTTCTTTCTTTCTCATCCTTATTGTTTTAAATACCGAATCTTTTTTTTTTCTTTCGGAAAAAGTTCAAACAATCCGACAGCAAACTCTCACAAACGTTTACGTCTTCCCCCCTCCCCCATGTCAATTTCAAAATCTTTTAAAATATCCCATAAGCGCAACATTCCGAAACTGTGATAATGATTAAAAAAAAAAAAACAGAAAGACTTTTAAACGATTCCGCGGTGATTTCGTTCGGGGGGGGGGGAAACGACCATAATTAATGATAATAACCTAATAATAATTTACAATGGCAAACAAAGTGTTAAAAGCAAAAAAAAAAAAATTTTTTTTTTTCGCATCATTATTAACGGTAAAATAACGAGATGAGCGATTGATTTCGCGATTGTTTTTTAAAAGTATTTAACGGTCGTGACAAAATCGGGCAGGGAAAAAATTTCCCCGCTATCGATTTCCTCGCGTTCGACGGAGTACACATCACTTAAGAGAAGAGGGAAATGGGGGAAAATCTCGAGAATTTTGTCGTCGCAGTCTTTTTTATTTTTTCATTTTGAATTCTGCGAAAAAATTTTTTTAAAATGTTTTCGCGTGCTAAAATAAATCACTTTTGTCGTTAACGATGTGATGTGATAACGACTTAAAATTTTACTCGAAACCCTTTTAAAAAAAAAAAAAAAACAAATTTTCGTATGCACTTATGCGTGCACGCAATTATTATTATCATTATCATTATCATTATGACGAGGTGAGAATAAAATTAATAAAATTGTTTTCGTTTTTTTTTTTTTTTTTTTCTTTTCTTTTCCTCTCATTTTTCTACTCGAATGACGTTTAAATACATTTTAATAACAATAATAATTTTAACTTTTTAGAAAAAAAAAAATTATATTCGAATTTGAGGGCGTTCACGGCACACTCCTTCCTACTCTACTACATTTGCTACGGTTTAGTTATTCAAAATTTATATATATTCATCACTTCTCGAAAAATAAGAAATTATACATTTTTTTTTTTTTTATGACAAATCTTTTCGCATAAAAACACGAACGCGCGCGCACAGAGAAAGAAAAAAAACATGGCGGCCCATTTCTTCCCCCTTGCTTCCTATATACGATTGATTGACTCGCACATTAAATATTATCATTCGTTTTAATATAATGTTAATAATAATAATAATAAATTCGTTTGGGGTGAGAACAAAGAGAAAAAATGGGTCGAACGAAACCTTATTAATAAGAGGGAATAATAATATTTAAATATAAAAAAAAAAAAAGAAAAATGGCGAGATGAAAATCAAGTTATTATTCTGTTAGCTAGCATTCATTACGAATAAAAAAAATAGTTTCTGCCATTGTTATTATGAAATGAAAACGAGGGTCAATGGTGTGTTGAAAACAATGAGAAATGATACACATCATCGCACACACACACACACACACATCTCCTCATTTTGTAAATATTCCTTCATTAAAAAAAATTAAAGAACGATAACATGGTGGAAAAGTTTCAGTCACTCTTTCTTTCTCTCACAACAAACCTTGCTTTATATATAATTATCAAATCGAACGATATAATTTATTTTAAAATTTCATTTATTGTTTTTAACTTATAAAAATAAAACCAGCATGCAGATCAACTTTCCATGATAACAATGATGATAAAACTATACCGTTTTTAAGGTTGGGTACCTCACAAATATAAAAATTTCATTCATTGCAATTTCGACAAGAGTAAAGGTCAATCAATATATATCAAAATCTAAAACATAAGAATCAAACAAAAAAAAGATTTTACAAATTCATCCAATAGAAAATATGTTTTGAAAGTGACCACCTGTTCGACAAAAGGCAGGGAAGAAAAGAAAAGATGATGACAAACCACCGCCTTGTAACAACAGAATTCTCAAAACCCCTTTTCTCATTTTGTACTATTTTAAATTGATTTAAGATATGTTGAGTTGAGTTTTATTCGAATGATTTCAAAATATAAATTTGCAATAAAAGTGAAACGACAAAAAAAGTCACACACCATGTTAAATCAATTAAATTTTTTTTATTTCATTCTCTCTCTCTCTCCCCTCTCTCACCATCATCATGCTTTCATTTTTGTCTCTTTCTCTCTCTCTCTCTTTCTAATTTTTATCTTCATTTTAACCTTTTTCTGAAAAATTTCCATCTAATCAACAATTTTCATGAAAGTTAATTAACACAAACATCAATACAACAAAAACAAAATCAATACACAATCACAATCGACACAACAAATCAATTCAAATTAAAATTCACTTCATTATTACATAAATTTGTAACTTTTACTCGAATGTCTCATTTTATTTTATCAAAATTTAAACACAAATTACAATTTGTTCGAAAACTGTTTCACAATGATCATGAATTTAATTATTATCACCAACCCCCCTTCTGCAATTTATTTTTAAAAATTTACAATTCGACAACATGTATTAACATTTTTAAAATATCAATAATAATAATAATAACAAATGCTTTTCCCTCCCCTCTCCCATCTCACTCACTCACTCACTCGCTTTCCATTCCCTCCTTCTCATTATTATTGTTTATTTGTTACAACAACTTATTCAATGTGTTAAAAGACAAAATTTTAAAACAAACAAAAATGCAATTATTATTATTATTATTATTATCAATTTCAAGAATTTTACAATAGTTAAAGAAAAATCAAAGCGAGAAAAATGTTTAAATGAAAGCATTTCACTGCGACACAACCAAACATGTTCGAATACAACAAAACCTCGATGCAAAAAAAATATAAAATAAAAAAAGGGGTATTTAGAAACAATACTACTACTACTACTACTACCACTGCTACTACTACTACTACTAATAATAATAATAATACTTTTCTTTCTCTTTCTTTTAATTTACATGAAAAAAAAAGTTAAATTTTTGTCATGTTACACACACAAGCAGTCATCGAGTAATGACAATCAATATAAAAATTTTATAATTTTGCAAATTATTATTATTATTATTATTTCAAAAAGATTATGATCATTTTTTTTGTATTCATCTCTATCACTTCATGATAAAAGAAAAAAAAAATAGAAAAAAACAATAAACAAACAAATTTATAAAGAAACAAGCATTAATCATCACACACACACACACACACACACACAGACACGAGCAAGCTTAAGAGCTCATATGAAAAGGTTTCATTATTATCATTATTATTAATCCATTTTTTTAATGGAATTAATGGAAGAAAATAGAAAAAATAATAATAATAATGATAATAAATGCCTTTTCATTCCAAGGGTGATCATGAATCGTAGTACATGTGTAAGGGGTTTCCAGATGAGCAAGACGCAGAACCACCAGACAACGTATCCTACGCAAACAACACAGCGATTGCATATCACTAACTCTATGAGAACGGATCGATATTTCAACGTCCACAAACGCCGCTGCATGGCTATACCGTTCGGCGGAACCATTTTAAAATCATTTTATATACCCATACATACTTTCCCCAAACATGTATAAAAAATAAAGTTTAATGACTCCGTAATGATTTATCGACTACAGTTAAAATTCTCATGCATGGTTTTTTTTTTTATCCGTTCGATATTTTAAATGAAAATAATCTTGGAAATTAATAAAAGAAAATCGACTTTGGTCATGACTTACCTTCTGATAATTCGAGATCCAGTTCCGCCAGTTTTTCCCTTATGTCCTCTGGCAATTTCGATACGTCTATGGTTATATCGGCCATGCTGATGATATCCATTTGTATAAATTAACTATAAATATTAACACTAAATCTCACCTTAAAAAAATAACACTATAAAAATAATACATTTTGCTTTCTGATCTCGTACGGAACTGAAATAAGATTTGAATAACCGCGATGTGGCAGCACCGATCGCAACTAATCTCGACCACGTGACCCCCGGTTGTAAACATTTTTGACATTAAAATGTATTCTCGTTACTATCATCATTATTATTATTATTACACATTTAACTTAATTTAATTTTTTTTTTTTTTTTTTTTTTATAATTATTTTATAATTTTTTTACATTTACAACTCGAAACTTTTTTTTTTTTTTTTAAATTAAATAAACATAACAAATATTTCGTAATTAATCAAAAAAAAAAAAAAAATTATAATAAGTTTTATTATTAATGTATCCGATGATACATTACATGACAGGCAATTTTTTTTTCCTTTTTTTTTTTAAGTTTAAATAATTTATAATTTGCTAACTAGTAGAAAAAAAATATATCATTTTAAAATGGGTTTAAACGTTTTAAATAATTATAAAAAAAATGATTATACTTTAAAATAATAAAAATTGAATTGACATGAAAATTATTAATAGATACTAATAGCAAAATCAGCTTACGCATCAAATTAATTTTTATGCTTACGATAATCAAAAAAAAAAACCACCGCACGAAATAATTTATTTAAAAAAAAATATATTTCGGATATAATTTAAATATTATTTCACATTTCATTCGAAAAAACAATAAAAAACGACACAAATCGAAAAAAAAAAAAAAAAAAAAGAAAAAAAGAAAACTAACGATATTAATAATTTTATTTTGTACGTGGAAGCAGTCATGTGATCAAAAAGGCGGGTAATGTCGTAGTTTGGGTTATTAGCATTATTTTATTTTACAGCTGTGATTTTGTATATCCAGCTGATATTAATTTTATTTCTTTTTAATAATTATGAACGATTTTATTTATAAATCTGTTAAAAAACAATATTTAAAATGTAAATTAGTTGTTAAAAAATGGGAAGATGAATTTTCAAGTAAAAATAAAAGACTTCCAACAAGGGTAAATTTTCATTAAATTTTTAATTATTAATTTTTATTTTTTTTTATTATTATTCTACTCCACTCTTTGATTTTTCTATCAAATTAATATTATTTATCAATTATGTAAAATAAATGATGAGGTTTTATGGAAAAAGCACAATAAACTTTGTATTTGCAAAAGTTTTTCCAAATAAAGTATTTAAAAAAAAAATTATTATTATTATTAATATGAATACTTTTTGTTTTATTTAAATTTTCAGGCGGATATAAAATTATCACCTGCTTATGTTAGAGAAAGTTACAATAAATATTTTAAAATAAAAACAGAGCTTTTAGCTTCGCAAATTTTAAACGAAGAAAATGGAAATTTAAATAATTTAACTCAAATTTGTGATTTTAATTCTACCGACAATGGAAAATGTGATTTGAATAATGAAAGTAAAAAAGACAATTGTCAATTGAACACTCATGATAAAAATGTGAATAATTCAAATGAATCTATTAATAAAATAGATCCTAAAACATGGGGTGAAAATTTAAATGTTCCTAAAGAAAATAAGAAGCCTAAAATTGAAAAATGCAATTCGATGAGTGTTCTCTCTCAAAAATTATTCAAAGGTTCAAAATTTAATAAAAGGAATCCGAGAAAAAAGCCATCATTTAATAAAACATTATCGACAAGTAGTTTACAAGAAAATTCAACTTTAGAAACGACTAATTTAAACTCATCATCTCTGAGTAGTAATTGTGCTGAAGAAAATAATGATAATAAAAGCGATGGCATATGCGACTCCAGAGAATCAGGATTAGAATCAATATCGACATCTTCATTATCATCTTCATCAATGTCAATATCACCACTGTTAACATCCTCTGTGTTACCTTCATCAGGTTCACTAATTGAACGATGTTCATTCATTGATGGGAAAACAACTCCTAATGTACAAAAATTTAATTTTTTACAAGACATGACATCGAGACAACTTTCAACATTTCAAGAAGATTGGGTTGAACGTTGTACCAATTTTGATGATAATATAAAACCTCAAAGAAATTCAGATTCAGGTTTCGATTCGATTGCATCAGAAGAAGTCAAATTAAATAATGAAAAAAGTTTATTTTCAGACAATAACGATGACGATGATGATGACGTCATTTGTGGTAGTGATAATGAATTAAATAAAGAAGATAATAATATTATAAGTTTAAGTCAAAAAAGAAAATCTCAGGTACTTCAAGATGAAAATTCTAGTCAAGAAAAATCTCATAATGACAAAATGGGAAATTTTTCATTTCATCATTTGTTGAATTCCGCGACGACACACGTTACGAAAAAATTCAAAATGGACGCGTCGTCTGAAACCACTTTAAAATCCTCATCGTACAACAATGAGGAAAATGCAAAAATGAAAATCTTAGAAAGGAAAATACAATGTGGAACTTTAAACGATAATTATGTTAAATTAAATTTAGAAAAGAAAACATATGCCAGAGGTAAAAAAAAATTTAACTTTTCAAAATATAAAAAACAAAAATGGAAAAAAGATAAAAAGGCATTGAATAGCGAAAGAGAAAGCGGTGGAATATTGGAATGTTTCACGTGTGGGGAAAAAGGACATTTTAGCAGAAATTGTAAAAAAAATAAAGAAGATAAATTATTAGATGTTGACGATGAGTTTGAGAATGATTGCGACGTTCATTTGCCCACATTGGAAGAAGCTCGAGCATTGGCAGAAGAAAAGGGAAAACAATATCAATTTAATCATAAAAATATTTTTAACCTTCAAGAGGTAATAAAACATACCCCAAAGCATTTATTATTATTATCATTAATGTTAAAATACATATATAACATGTTTATTTTCAGCCGTCGGAAGAAATCATCAACTTTGGTAAAGTGGAGCCTTTGTATGAGTTAAAGGAAAATGGTGACGTCATAGAAACTCCTCCCGAAGTGTACGAAGCTTTGGAAAAATTCGGTCATACCTATTTCCGTCCCGGACAAGAAGAAACAATAATGAGAATGCTTAGCGGTCTTTCGACATTATTAATAATATCGACAGGAGGGGGTAAAAGTCTCTGTTATCAACTTCCTGCTTATCTTTATGCTAAACGTAGCAAATGCATAACTCTTGTCATATCTCCATTAGTGTCTCTCATGGAAGATCAGGTAAACTATGTCATTCCATTTAGTTTTTCTTATCTCCGTTAAAGTTTTCTAATTACTTTTTCTCCCTCTCCCCCGTCTAGGTTTCCGGATCATCATGTTCGTTTTTTAAAATCGGATGTTTGCACACGGGTTTAACTGATAGACAACGTGAAAACGTTTTGGAAAATACTAAAAATGGTAAATTGCACGCTCTTCTCGTGTCACCCGAAGCCATCGTGTCCGGAGATTCATCGAAAGGTTTCGGAAGCATATTGAAACAATTGCCCCCCATCGCTTTTGCTTGCATAGACGAAGTTCATTGCATATCCCAGTGGTCGCATAATTTCAGGCCGTCTTATTTGATGGTCAACAAAGTTTTGAGGGAAAAATTCGGCATCGCGACCGTTTTAGGACTCACGGCGACGGCAACCGTATCGACGATACGAAGCATAACGAGGGAACTTAAAATAGAATCGGAAAAAGGTGTGATCAAAGACATTCCCATACCTGACAACATATTATTATCCGTGTCCGTAGACGATGATAAAGACGAAGCTTTAATTAAATTATTGACGAGTGAAAAATTTCAAGATTTCAATTCTATATTGATTTATTGCACGAGGAGAGATGATTGCGAACGCCTCGCGACCTACATACGAACGGTTATGCAAAATTTTTTCGATTGTAACGAAACTCATAAGAAAAAAAACAGGAAATTATCGTGGACGGCGGAATCGTATCACGCGGGAATGGCGGGACCACGACGGAAACAAGTACAAAAAGCATTCATGAATGGAAACGTTCGAATAGTCGTCGCGACCGTGGCTTTCGGTATGGGTATAAATAAAAAAGACATACGATCCGTCATTCATTACAACATGCCTAGAGATTTCGAAAGTTACGTGCAAGAAGTCGGGAGAGCGGGAAGAGACGGGATGTTTGCTCACTGTCATCTATTTCTAGACCCGAACGGAAAAGATGTTAACGAATTGAAACGACACATAAATTCGAATACCATCGAACGTCACGTACTGCGAAAATTATTGGAAAGAGTTTTCGTTAAGTGCGATTGTCCGAACGTGAAAAATCAAAATGGATGCACCACGCACGAAAGCGGTTTCGATATGAAAAAAACGGTTCAAGCATTGGACACGCCGGAAGAAAACATACTCACTCTATTATGCTATCTAGAATTGGACGATAGGAAATTCGTTAAGGTTTTACCGCCCGCGTATTTAAATTGTAAAATAAAAAGTTACAACGGTTTGAACAAGATAAGAACGTCGGCGTTCAAGTGTCCCCCACTGGCATACGCGTTCGCACTCGACGAAAACCAAACGAAAAGAAAAAAATGTAATTATTTGGATTTTAACGTCATCGACGTATCGAACGGTATCGGATGGAAAAGTTCGATAGTCAAAAGTCAATTGAAAAATCTCGAATGGGAAACGGACGATAGGGGAACGTGGAAAAAAACCGGGATATCCGTAGAATTTTCCGATTTGGGTTTTAGAGTTTTGACGAGGGGAGACATGAGTCCGTCGGAACTCGACGAAAGTTTAGAATGTCTCGTGAAAAGAGTAGAAAATCAAGAGAAAAGATCCACGGAGTGTTTGAACCTTATTTACAACGTACTAGAATATTATTCTCATGGAAATTTCGAACAAGTTTTAAATGTTGGTGGAGTAGGAGGAGGAGCAGGTACGACGACGACGACGACGACGATTGAAAAAAGCAAAGAATTGAAAAACGAAATAAGACGTTATTTCGAAACGGAAAAAATAAGCGAAGAAATACCGTTGAAAAATTTTCAGGTATGATTTAGGTATAGTTTGAAGGAGGAGGAGGAGAAAAAGGTTAACCTGTAACTTATCATTTTTTTTTTTTCCTTTTTTTTATTTTTCCAGATCGAAAAATTCGACGAAGAAATCGTCGCGAATGACGTGAGAACTTTACTGAACACGTATCGTGATAACACGTTCAATGCACGTGCCGTAGCAAGAATATTTCACGGTATACAAAGTCCAAATTATTTGGCATCCACGTGGTACAATTGTAAATATTGGAGAAAACATTTGGATAAAGATTTCAACGAGTTATTGACGATCGCGAAACGCGAAATACTTCTCTGGAAATTATAATAATAATAATAATAATTATCACTCCATCATCATCATCATCATCATCACGCTGATAATAATGATTTTATCACGTGACATTGTATAATATTTAATTAATTTATTTGTTTTTTTTTTTTTTTTTTAAATTTAAATCTACGTATCGATGTATTCGTGACGTGTAATATTAATGACGTGTCAAAAGAAAAATTAGTTATACGTCACATAACTTCCGGATAAATAATTAATTAATTAATTTTAAATAAAGAAGAATTTAAATTTATTATTATTATTATTATTATTAAAAATTTTTTTTTTTATTATTATTATTATTCGAACGCATTTTGATAAATTTCCTTTTAAGTGTTCTTTTCTTATGTATTTCCGTTATTTTTTCTTTCCATTTTCTCAAACGACAATGTATGCAAAATTGCGATGATAATAAATGAAGCGGAGATCTATATTCGAAATAATTATTTTTTCTTTTTTTATTTCTGTAAAAAAAAAAAAAAAACATAAATGAAATACATTGTTAAAGAAATTAAAGATGGCGGATTTATAAGTACTCACCTCTTATGCGACCAAATATGCATTAATGATTCCCAAATGAGACAAATAATGGATGTCCAAGTTGGAAACATAAATAATGAGGGTATGAAAAAAACAAATGGTTTTACATTTTCTTTATATAAAAAATATTTTTTTGTTTTTTGTAAATATTTTATTTTAATTTTATTAGAAATCGAATTTATTCCTGTGTTATCCCAGCAAATTAATTTTTTCCTATATCGATTTTTATTTATTTTATTATTATAATTATTATTATTATCGTGAGTTTGTTCTTGTAAATAATTAATAGGTATTTGAAATTTTTTTTTTTTTATTATTATTATTTTATTTGTTAATTCTGGTTCACCAGTTTCTGCATTTGTATTATTTACATTATCATTATTATTAATTAATTTTTTTTCACCTGTTTCATCATCCAATTGAAAATTTTCTTTTTTATTATTATTTAAATTCATACCTTTTTCGAGATGATAATAATAATAATTTAATTTAATAATAACAAATAAAAAGCCAAAAAAACTTTCATTTCCTGCTTTTTTTTTTCTTGTAAAAATTTTCCACAAATTTCTTTTACATCAACAACTTTTTTATTTTTTTTAAAACTAAAACTAAACTATTTAATTTTCTTCTTATTTTTTAAACAAACACAAACACAAACAAACACTTTCTTGATATAAATGTTTTGTAAAATTTAAATAAATGTTAAAATCAAAAAAAAAAAAAATTTTTTTTTTTTAAAACCTTCATTACTCATACAATGACTTGTTAAATTAACCCGGATAAATTTAAATTTAAATTTAAATTTTTTTTTTTTGTTATTAAAGAAGAAGACGACACGAATACGTTTTTTTTTTTCAAGGTCATTAATAAAAAACAAATTTATTATTATAAAATTTTTCATTTAATCTAACTTAAAATATTTAAATATGGCGGCTGCTTTTTCCGTTACAAGATTTGGTTGTTTGTGTGTGTGTGTGTGCGGGCGTGTGACAAACAAGCGACGAAATATTTATGATTAATTCTTATATATATATATATATAAATTTGACAAAATTTTTAGTTTTATTCGTATTCGTCTGGATTCATATTCTGTATTCGACCAACTCCTCCTCTGTATCTTTTTTCTTTCGTTTTCAGCCATGATGGCATTCCTTTGTAATTACACGTTATTGCTTTCGGATATGGAAACGGTTTTTTACCCGGTTCGAACGGATTTATTTCTTTTAATTTTTTCATTAAATATTCTCTATTTAAATCCTGAGGATCTCTGTACCTGTCTAAATACCTTAAAAAAAAATTAAATTAAATTAAATAAAACGATTAAATAATGTAACGACAACGAAAAGTCAGTCACCGCCTTTTAAAAAAATTAAACAAATTCAAACCCGGGTTTATTTTACAAAAACCCGCGCTTTTTTATATTATCTTTTCAAGCAGACGATACGCGATATCGTCGTCTGCTCGTGATATATACACACACACATACATTATTTACACTTTAACTTTGATATATATATATATATATACTTTACGTTCATGACGCAATGTTTTCGTCGTTTTTAAGAGTTTCGAGTGTTTTTTTTACAAATGTCGTCGTTCAATCTCGGTGTAATTTCGATGTCGTCAATCAAATTTCGAAAAGATGGGCCGGTCATAGTAAATGGTCGAACATAAAACACGTGAAAATGGCTAAAGATCAAGCGAGAGCATCTTTGTTTAATAAATTATCGTATAAGATATCGTTGGCGGCCAAAGAGGGAGAAAATCCCGAAACGAATTCTAAACTCAAAGCTGCTCTAGCCGAAGCAAAACAAGCAAACATGCCCAATGCGACCATTCAGGGAGCTATTAAAAAAGCGAAAGATAGTTTGGCGGAAAAACCCTATTGGTTAATATATTCATCGTTGGACGGACTTCAAATCGGTTTCGAAGTGCGAACCGCTAATCCTCTTGTCGCCGTGTCTAAATTGAATACATTTTGTAAAAGACTAGGTTTGAGAAATGAAAAAAGAGGGTCGGATCATTATAACGAAAAGGGAATCATAATAAGTAAATCGAATGGATCTGAAGACTTTTACTCGAGAGCAGTCGAGGATGCCATAGAAACAAACATTGAAGAAGTCGTGGAGTGTGGTGAAAATACAATAGTATTCGAATGTTTGCCGGAAAAATTACAAGCATCTAGTAATAAACTTTCTGCTAAAGGTTACGAGATATCTGATGCATTCACGGAAATCACATTTCATAATTATGTTAAAATAACTTCCGATGAAATGAGTAGAGTTAAAAAAATTACAGATAGAATAGAAAGCGAATTTGAAGATTTACTAAGGATAGCAGATAATATAAAAAGGGATGAAAATTAATATTTTAAATTTGTAAATAAATTTTTTTTTTTTTTTTTTCTTTCGGGAAATATACTTCAGTAAATATTTAATGAACTCCAAGTTGTGAATTAAACAGTAAAAAAGAAATCGACAAATTTTTTTTTTTAATCTGAAATCATTGTCGCATGTATCTACCGAAAAAGGTTTATGTTAAAAACAAATTAATACTAATTAATGAAGAATTAAATTTCACTACAACCATTATAAGAAAAAAATAAATGGTAAATATATCAAAAAAAAAAAAAGTGTTTTTTTTTAAACCCTTACCCCTCCCCCCTTCAAAAAAGAAGGATATCGTTTACATTCAGTGAAACATCAACATAAACTATATGAATAACAAGGGCATAAAAATATGTCAAATATGGATTTCAAAGTAATGTTAAAATTTCCTTGATCAAAATGATGCTCAAACCAAAAAAAAGAAACCATTATTTAGTAAATATTAACCATAATAAGAAAAATAAAATTCATTTTTTATGTTTTTACACCTAGCCTTTACTTTATATCATATATGGACTCGACAATTACGAAAATTTCAATGTATAATTACAATAACAATGAAAATGTTTTTCAAACATCATCATGCTTCATAAAATAACTATTATTTACAACATTGCAAAAAATTTTAATGTTATTTAATATTTTATGGTGCCTTAATATAGTTAATTATGCAAAATGTCAAAATTTTTTTCCGATAATAACCAAACCATTTAATCATTCATTAATTTTTAAATCGATTTTTAAAAAGCATTAAATCGTTGATATTTAAATGTAGGTTAAATTTAGATATCGATGTCATTTTCATTTAAAAAAAAAAAAAAAAAAAAAAAGAAGCAATAGTTCAATTCATTAGCATTATTATAATGCAAATGATTGTTATTTGTACTTGAAAATTTGTAGGGTATGGCAATATTAATAATAATAATAAATACTTTTTTCGGTCAGTTACGAAAACAAAATATAAAAAAAAAAAGAATACTTACAAATTGAAAGGTTCCTTGTTAGGAAAAGGTTTTTGTTTTTTCAATGGCTTTGGAACATGATCATATTCGAATATGGGTTCTTCCATATTTAATATTTCATGAAAAACTTTTCTACTCGTTTTATCCCAATCAGATTGAAAAAATGATAAACCAGCAGGAGTGAGTTCATCTTGTCTTTCTTTATAAAAATTTAATGTATTAAAATTTCTATCGCTTAATTCTAACCTGAAAAAAAAAAAAAAAAAAAAAAAAAAAATTTTATTTATTGTCTGTCGGAATTCAAAAGAAAAAAAATTTATATATTTATTAAATAATTTTTTAATTGAAATTTTTTTTATACCTGGGCAATTTATTTTTTAAAGAAGAAAAATCAATTTTTTTCTCTTGTTTATATAATACAAATATATATCTTAAATATCCCACTCCTCTCGGAGGAAATGGTGGTAAATAATCCCATATTTCTTCACCTTTACCCACTTCCCCACCTGGAATATTTCCTCTAAAAAAAAAGGATATTAGAAGTTACTTTAAAGAATAATTGTAATGTTTAACTTTAAAATTATTATTTAAATAAAAGGAAAATTATGTAAAATATAGTATTGCATACGTAAAAGAAAAAAATATGATTATACTCACACAAGCCAATGAATATATTCTCCATTTTGAATTGTAAGATGTCCATCAGGACAAACCAGACTCAAAGTCCATAATTCATTCGGATCAGATTTAAATTTAACTTGAGGTTTTATGAATGCTTCATCAGGTTTCACAATATTACCCCAATAAACTGGTGCGACTAATTCTTCATTTTTTTGTGGATGAAAAATATCCATTATAACATAAGGTGTGAAATAAGCATCACCGAAAAGATGATCGAATATTTGAAAATGTTCTGCTAGTCTTTTGATGTGTTCTGGTCCATCGTCTTTTAACCAATCTGCTCTCACTTCATCCAAATCGAAATCGACTAAAATTTAATTAAATTGATTAGAAACTTTTAATAAATTAAATTTATAACTCTTTCTTCTTCAATACTTACTCTCCAGCTTGTTAGCTTTAGCTTCTAATATTTCATCACTTTTTCTTTTTTTTAAATACATTATTCTTTCTTTTTTCTCTTTTTTTGAAACATTTGGAGGAGGGGGAGGTAAACTTATGTCAACTTTAAAATCCAACAATGGATTAAAAACTTTTTTTTCTACAACGAAAAAAAAAATTCAATTCGTAATAAAAGATTGTTTAAATCGTAATAGTAAGTATATAATCAAATAACAGTCTATACCTTCTAGCTGTTCTTTTAAATTTTTTGTAGGCATGGGAAATTTATAATTAATATTCCTAACTGAACTTATGAGAGGTAATGTTAAATTCGGTTTAAGAAACTTGACAAAATTCATTTTTGAATTATAAATAAAGAAGATCTTGCTAACTTTTAACTGTAAATTCTTTTAATAGTATTAAATCATCAAATAAATAACTATTCATATATGAACGTTGAGTATTTGCAAAAAAAAAGTATTATTTTATTCTGATAAAAGTAAAATCACACTCGTTTTCTATACCTTTCCCTTAATAGATAAAAAAATTTTACTGAGATATTAAAAACCGAAACGTATTTGAAATATAAAAAGTCATTTTAATTATGTAAAAATTTATTACAATAAGTAATAAGTCATATTTGCAAAATCATTCGTTTTAATTAAAAATAAATCAGTTTTAAAAAAAAAAACTTGTTTATTTTCATGCGTTTTTATACAAGTAAATTTTAAAAAAAAAAACTTTTTTTAATCAAGAAGGCAGTGATATTAAAAATAATATATATATATTTTAATGAAATAAATTTATTGTCAAGCAAGAACTTAATAAATAACAAATAATGGTTTTAAAAGTGAATTTAAACAAAAAAAAAAAAAAATCGTGACAAAATTTTAGATATATTTTAAAAATTAAAAAAAAAAAAATTTAGAAAGGAAATGAGAGAAATAAATATTAAGTTGGCACTTCCGATTTTTAATTTTTATGTTTGCATTATTTGTTCAAAGTTGGCTTTCGCGTCAATTGACAAGTAACCGCGAAGGTGAATGCTTATAAATGTTAATGTCAGATTTTTTTTTTTGTAAATTAAATAATTATTAAATAATATATTGTTGATGGTAGTTTTATTTGTAATATTTAATAGTTTTAGTGCACAAATTAAATTATTATTATATTTTACACGTTAGATTTTATTATATTAACGAGGTATTAAAATTTATAAATTATAATTTAATTTAAAGTTAAACGATCGATTTATAAAAAAAAATTTTTTAGATTTTTTCCATTTTTTTCCATTTCTTCCATTTCGTCAAATGGAGTCAGCTTTATGCGATTACCGTATTATAATAATTTTTTACTTTAGTTATTAATTTTCTTTTTAACGTAATGCATTTTAAAATGAAAAGAAAACTTTAAGCACTTTAAAAAATTTTCTTTTTTTTACATGGAAGTTACTTTCTTTCTCTCAAAGATTTATTTTATTTTCATTTTATGCTTTGAAAAAAATTTTCCATAACGATTCCAAATTAGTTTAATATATTTATTAAAGTAGCCATTTATTAGATTTTAGTTTTTAGAATAGTTATTAATAATAGATCAATAATTAAATAATGTTAAATTCTCATGAGAAGTTTAAAAAAAAAATTTTTTTTTTTATATACCACTCCAGTGCCATAACTCAAATGAATAAATAATTTCTTCATTTTTTGAATTTGTTCTTGTAATTAATTTATTTTTTTGTTTAATCGAAAATCAAAGAGTGACAAAAAATATTTTTGTTTGACAGATAGATAATTAATTAAACATACATATATGGAATAAGATATTAAAAGATGACAGATCTACTCTCGACTCATGGAGAGAGCTTCCATGGTGCTGCAAATGTTTTATCTCTTGAAAATTGCAGAAGGTACAGACCAACAGAGCCAAACATACTCAACACTGAATTAAAACATAGCAAAAGTGATGATTTAGTGTTGCAAAGCAGTCCGATTGAAAGTCCATCTGAGGAAATTCAACCGAGACCATTATCTCCGAATCTTCCATTCGAAGGAGGAAGATGCATAATGTCTGGCGGAAACAGACCGAAAAGTACATATTTTAGTGACAGTGAACCAGATGTGAATAATATAAAAGCTCAAAATGTAACAGTGCATAGTTCAAAAGTTCATAATTCCACATCTGTGTCATCAAGACATGTCGGACTGTATGACAATGTCGATCCGGAAGATAGCATAAGAGACATGATATCTGAAAATGATTTTTACAGGTAATCAATCGATTGATCTATTATTAAACCTTTTTTCATAATGGAAACTTTTTAAAATAATCATGTTGTCGAGCAATTTAAAAACCATATTACAAGTGACTGGTTGTTTGTACCTTTGTTTTCAAGGTTTTTTTTTTTTTGTTCTCGGTTTAGGTTTGTCCTGTTCAAAAGTCACTATGACAAATATTTAAGATTGTCTTTGAAATATGAAGAAGCGAGAAATATAGCTTATTACCTGGAGGAAAAATACCACGAAATAAAGGTAATTGATCAATTTTTTCTAATTTATTAAGGTGATGATTATTTTTTAACGGTTGGTAATGGTGGAAATTTTTTTTTTTTTCCAAAATTTGAAAAAGAAACATTTTGCCCACAAAAGGGAAAGGGTTGTCGCGGTCGGTTATAAAAAAATTTTGTAGTTTTTTTAACGGTTATTTCGTTGCACATTGACCAATGACGTAAGACTTCATAAATATTTTTTTTTTTTTATTATTAAGGAAAAAATGTTTTTACGGTTGTCGAAATGATAATAATAATTTTTTTTTGATATCATCATCACTTATTCTGCCATTTTCTTCTTTATTGTTTTCGCTTGTGCCTGATTTAAAAAAAAAAAAAAAAAAAATTAATTCTCACGCCTACCGGTCAAGGTCTTTTCCGGAATTACCTTTAAAGTTTTCATTTTTTTTTTTTTTTTATCAAAAAACGAGAAAAGTTGTTAATAATTTTCTATTCTTTACATTTTACATTCGATTAGAATAAAAAGAGAGAGAGAGAGAGAGAGAAAATTTGAATAAGAAAAAAATTGACCAAAAAAAAAAAAAAAAAAATTTCAAATGAGGAACTCACACAACATTATTATAATGAGAATCGGGATGTTTTTGCTTTTATTATTATTATTATTATTAATCATTATTATCATCATTATTATCTCCCTCGTACATTTTAATCCGACATTGTTAAGTCGAACGAATCGTTATTGTTGTTGTTGTTGTTGTTGTTGTTACAACTACTACTATTATTATCATCATCATTATTACTCTTTTTTTTCTCGTATTTAATTACCATGAGAAAGGTTATCGAGGATTTTAGTTAGAAGAGAGGAGGGGGGGGAGAGGGGGAAAAAGAATAAAGAAAGAAAGAAAAAAAAAATACGGTTTAGGCTAATTGAAGTTTAAAATTTTTTTTTTTTTTTTTTTATGAATGGTTTTCGAATCGGAAAAGAAAAAATAATAATAATATTAATAATAATAATAATCGTGCGAATGCCACGAATGGCAGTGAACTTAGAAAGTTTTTTTTTTTTCTCATTTTTTATTTTATTTAAATTTTTTCGTAGCGACCGATTTTTTTTAAAAAAAAAAAAAAAAAAAAAAAAAGAACCATGTTTTATTAAAGTCAAATTTAAAATGTATAATTTATTTGTGAAACGATTTCATTAAGAAATGAAAGAATAATGGTAGTGTTAATAATAATAATGATGATAATGATAATAATGAAATGAATTTGGGTTTTAATGAATTTACGACGTCTAGTTTTTTTTTTTTTTTAATTATATATATATATATATATATATTTATTTATTTATTTTACCCTGGAAATTTTACAATGGCTGTGAAAAAAAAAAAAATGTGAAAAGAAGCCATTTCTTAAATGATTTACACGAATTTTAAATTTTTTTTTCGGGTTTTTAAACGCATTAATTACTGATAACAAGTAACGCTTTTGTTCGTGATAACAACTTTTTCTATTTTTCGAATCGTTGTATTATTTAACGAGAAGAGTCTCTCCCCGTGCTTAGTCACATCCTTCGAAGTCGAGAGAAGGTCACGTGGTTTTTTTTTTTTTTTCGGGAAAATTATGGGAACCCGTAGTTAGTTGTTGTGTTAAGGTTTTGCAAGGTTTCTCGTTATCGTAAAGAGTGATAAGAACAACAACAACAACAACAACCGCTTTGGGCATTCCCCATCGATTCATTCACGGGTTGAGATTGAAAAAAAAATGGCGGAATTTTTGAAAAATAAGGGATAATCGAATGAGTTCGGGGGGTGTAGGGGGGAAACGGAAATAATGGTCTCGAGTACCGCCCGAATAACATCACCGGTATGTGAGTGAGTGAGCGAGTTAGTTAATTCGTAAGAAAAACTCGTAGAAATTATTATTATTAATATTTTTTTAAATACCGAGAATGATTGATTGATTGATCGTAATATTTTAAATTAGCTATTTGTAACACACGAGTGGGAGGGGAGGGAAGGGGGGCATATGCATACACGCACTCGTGTGCGAGCACGATCGAGGAGAGCGTTTGAAAATTTCGATGGATTAGCATTATTGGTAGTTATCACGTGTTTAAATAATAATAATAATAATAAGAGAAGTTCTTTTATCGCGGCCATGGTTCGTCTTATCAATCAATTTCCTCATTGTTTTCACTTATAATGAAAAACAATTAATTAATTATTATTACGTTATCGAATCGAGAAAATAACAACAACAAATAAAAATTAAATAACGCGAACAAACGAAAGAACAAACAAACAAACAAACGAAAAGTTACGAAACTGGCAAATGAATAACCGGGGATTTTATTTTTATTATTATTATTATTATTATTATTATTATTATTATTATTAAGCCCTCTCGATAAATCAAATTAATTAAATCGATTAGTTCGATGATGAGTCGATCGATTTATCGATTGATTGGAAAAAAAACGTTTAAAATGCGTTCGATTCTTATCTAGGCGTTCGTTTTTTTTTCTTAACGATAAACAGGGAATGAAAATTCCAGGGGAACGGGTTAATAAAGAATCTTGCGTAACGATATGTACAGAAAAAAAAAAAATTTGCCTATTACGTACGTGTGCACGTGCGTTCGGGTACGTGTGCATGTGCGTGTGCGTGTGCGTGTGCTCGTATTCGGTGTCAAACGTTCAGAAAAAATAAAATGAAATTTATAAAAGGCTTAAATGGAAACACTGACGACGATTGAAGTGAAAGTGTAATAATATTGTTTTTATAAAAAAAAAATAGAACAAAAGTGGTCAATGATAATAATAATAAAATTATTAATAAATAATAATCATAATGATAATAATGATAATGGTAGCTCGATCTTTATTAATTTACACGACGTGAATATATTTGTGTAAAGAAAAAAAAAAAAAAAAATAAGGTTAAAACGTTTTGTCACGGTGAGAAGAGATTCATTAATTTTTTTTTTTTTTTTTTTTTTTTTTTTTTTTTTTTTGGCTTTCGGGAACGGTAACAATGAACGTGAAAAAGGGGAAAAAAGAAAGTTTTATTTTATTTTATTTTTATATTATTTAATTTTCTATCTCTCTCTCTCTCTCTCTCTCTCGACACTCGTGTTTTTTTTTTAATTTTAGTTTTTTAAGTTTTTATTAAGTTTATTCGACTGTTATGAATTACATAACGGAAAAATTAAGAAAAACTATTTTTCTCTCTCTCTCTCTCTCTAACTTATATCACGCACACAAAAAAAAAAAAAATAGAAAAGAAACAAAAGGAAATAAAAAAAGAAAAAGAAAGAAACGTTAGTCGTTAGGCTCATCGTTATTTATTTTTTTTTATAATACGTGGCAGTAGAATTGAAATAATAATAATAATAATATTTGTTCGCTTTGTCGCGTAGGTGTTGTGACATGACGCACATACCGTAAGGTTTTTTTTTTTTTTTTAAAACGGGTTTTTCTTATTGAAAGAGAGAGAAATTTTAAAAAAAAATGCCTTTTGAGTTTTCGTGTACTCTCTCTCTCTCTCACACACTAAAAAAAGGAATCGGGGGATGGTGAGGTGGGGGGGGGGGTATGACGCGGATGATGGTTAAAATGAGAAAGAATCCGGTCAAGTTATTGGTTAACCTTAGCCATTCGCCATGGCTCGTTAAAAAAAAAGAAAAAAATATTATTTTCTATCCATTATTATTATTATTATTATTATTATTATTATCATTATCATTATTTTTTACTTTACCTATTTGGAAATTAGTTTTGTTGCTTCAACGGGGGGGAAAAAAAAAAAAAAAGAAAAATTGTATTCCTTTGCGGTTGATTGATTGGTTTTGAATTTTTTCTTTTACAATAAATTGTGGCTGTTATTATTATTATTATTATTAAAAAAAAAAAACCAAAAAAATTATTATTATCAAGAGGGGAGGGGAGGAGAAGGGAGAAGGGAAAAAGAGAAAAGATGGTTTTGATGGTTGAAAAATAATAATTGTGACCAAAATATCCGAGAAAAGGGGAAAAAGAAAAAAAAATTAAACATTCGTCATCGTCGTTGTTATTATTATTATTAATATTATTATTATTATTATTATTATTATTATTATTTCTATTATTATTATTATTATTATTATTTCTATTACTATTATGGTGATGATGATGATAATAATCGATAATTTTGGATATTGCTCTCTGTTAAATGTGTGATAACGTTAAAAATGAAAACAAGTTATTATTATTATTATTATTATTATTGTTATTGAAATTATTTATAATAATAATAACAACAACAACAACAACAATGATGATGATAATAGTCTGGTAACGGAATGTTATCGCGTTGGGTAAACGCAAAGTCCGAGTCGCATCATAGAAAGAAAGAAAGAAAGAAAGAAACGAAAATAAATATTTTCAATCGTATAATAAAAATATCGACGATAATAATGATAATGAAAAGAAGAAGAAAAAAGTATGGTGGATACGATGATGATGATGACTTATTTAGGAAAAAAAAAAAAAAAAAACGCTAATCATTTCGAGCGTGTGTCGTCGTGTAATTAGACATCGTCGTCATCATGTATGGAAGTCATTTTCCGAAACGACACCACGTCGTCGTCGTCATCGTTCTCCCCATCGTTTGTACGACACCTGTCGTGATTAATGCGGAGAAAAATCGATCGATATATCGAATTTTCCTTTTGATTTGTTTCGACTTTGGAAATAGAAACAAAAGGGAAAAAAATGGAAACGAAAGGGGAAAAAAAAGGAAAAGAAAAAAATTATGCAATCGAATTAAGATTTTTTAACGTGGTTCGACGATTCCGCCGACTGTTAGAGGCATCGTGTGTGCATATCAGAATACCTGTAATCTCACACTGTTATTATTATCATCATCATCATCATCATTATTATTATTATTATTATTATCATTTTCTTTTATTATTTTTCTCAAGGAAACACAATACTAAAATTTTTGAAGCGTAAATCCGATTTTATTTTGTTGTTGTTGTTGCTTTTCTCAATCCGGGATTCGTTTCGGTGTAAATGTTTGTTCGTTTGTTTGTTTGTTTGTTTGTTCATTTTTCATTCGAGGAATATTTACGATTCGAACGCTGGAAAAACTGGAAAGAATGAGGGAAAGAACGAGGAGAATTATCGTTTTTTTTTCCC